CGCCCGGCCTGCCCCCCTTCCCGGAGCCCGGTGTTGGGCGGTGCGCTGGGGCCGGGGTGGGGGGGAACGTCGCCCCCAAGTCTGGAACTCTGACGCGTAGCCTTTCGGTTTAGGCCATCGGAAGGAACGCGGGGGGCGCCCCCTCCCAGGCTGGCGGGCCTAGGGGCGCAGGCCGGGCGGTGGGGTCGGTCAGGTTCGGGCCCAGCCGGCCGGATGAAGACGGAGAGCCCTAGGCGTGTGTCCCAGAGGATCCGGGGCTGCACAGATGGGGGTGGTTGGGGGACGGAGGCCCGGCGGGGCGGGGTGTCCGGGAGAAAGGAGGGGTTCCTGGAGACGTGGCACTCGGAGGGGGGCTGGTTCCGCCCCAGCCGCCCGGGCTCCGGCCGCACTTGCCCTCGGGAGCCCGAATCCGACCCCGGCCAGGGCGCGCGCCCAGCGGCCCGGGAGCCCCATCCCGAGGGCTGCGGGCGGGGGCGGCCCGGTCCGGCCTCCGGGGCGTCCCGCGGCGGGGACCAGACAATGCGCCCGGGCCCCGCCCCCGCGGCCGCGCGGCCAATCGGCGCCCGCGGCCGGGCTCTTTAAAAAAAGAAGGGCCGGCGCGGCGGTGTCAGCTGGTGGATCCCTCCGCATGTAAACACGCATCATAAAGGGCGGGGGCGTAGCCTGCTGGAGCCTCTTCGGCCCCGGTCCCCGCAACGTCACAGCGGCTGCCTCACCTGGGAGCCGCAAAATTTCAGCACTTGAGGCCACCGCCGGAAACTGAGAGCTTGGGAGCTGGGAGCGGGAGGGAGTCCTGGCGCACAGGACGTGCACGGAGCCAGAAGGGTGTTCTTAGATTCTGTGCGCCTCGATTAAGTAACAGTCACGATTCATGTATGTCTCCAGTTTTCCTCCAAGCTATGCTTACCTGGCTTGAAGGATGACACTGCTAAGTGTGAAATAGTTTTGGTGCTCTCCCAAGACAGGACAGGACAGGAAATCAACTCCAGCAAGACCCTCAAAAGCACAGATCGCCCTTGACAAAGGGCAACAAGGATGACCTTTCTCCCTAACATTTTATTATGAAAAATTGTCAAATACTCAGCAAAATTAAAAGAATTTTGCAGCAAATTCTTCCATACCCACCACAGCACCTAGATCCTACCATATATTTTCTTTAATAATAACTTGCTATTTCTCGTATTTATCTCACACTGATGATTCTTTAATTTGATGCCAGCTGCCCCTTCGCTTAAGTCCACTGCAGTGGGAAGCTAAACAGGCTCACCTATGTCCCCAAGCACTGGGGAGCTAAGAAACGGACTGCCTTCTCCAAGGACCTCTCTCAACTCTTTTGGGGAACAAGTACCTCTGGGAAGAGTCTATTGAAGAGGAGGCTCCCCCCACCCCTGTTAATTGGAGAATGCTTAAGGCTAGAGACATCTTTCCTCTCGGTGAATCTGAGAGCAGGGCCAGGACTCTGGTGACTCCTCCTAGAGGCCCTGGCAGACAGTCCTTTCATGGGTTTGGCTGCTTGCCGGATAGAAGGTCTTTTTAGTGTGGAAGTCCTATTTTTTGTTTCCTCTCTCCCCTTTTCTAGGGCAGGACACTATCCCCCCCAAAAAAGTGTGTAAAAAGTATTGATATGTCTTAAAGTTACTTAACCTTTCTGGGCCTCCATTGCCTGCTCTGCGAAATGGGGATACAGCAGGACGTACCCAACAGGATGGTTGTTAAGATCCAATGAGCCAACAGACTAATATACGCAAAGCATTTACCAATGCCCTACATTCAGTAAGCATTAGATAAATAGCTACTTATTATAAATACATGCTAATAACTCTCCAGTTCTGATCCCTCTCCTTCAGCCTCTTGGCTAGTTCCAGCTATACCAAATACCCCCAAACTCAACTTGTGCCGTAGTGAACACACTCTCTCCTTCCCTAGACTGACTTCTTGATCGCGTAATGCGGGTGAATGGCCAGCAATGCCAAGGGGCCAGCATGCACACGGGCCTGTACCCGTCACAAGCTCTGTTAGGCTCACAGACTGTGCTGCAGTCTCTTCCTGCCAAGTCAGAGGGACTAACCCTTGACTCTCAGACCCCAGGATCGACCTGGCACTGACTGAGGCCTCTGCGGTAGCCGTGGCTTCGAGCGAGAATTAAGGCAAACACACAGGCCTGGTGCCTCTCAACATGCTCCTTTATTCACAAAGAAAACGCAGTGGGAGGAATAGCTTTCTTAACATCAACATCACACCACAATATAATCACAGTAATATGGCCATCAACATAGCAACAATTTAGTCAAGTATTTTGTAACAAACCAGTCCAAGAGTCAATCAGAATTCGGTGCAAGGGTTGCTGGTCCCGGAGGTCAGTCTGGAGAGGATCTGATCTGGCTGGGGAGCGAGATGGAAGCTCCGAAGCTCGTGGAGCAGCTTGGTCCTCTCTCAATTGAGACCGCTCCCTGGGCTTTCAAAGTCCTGGGTTCTTAAAGACTTTAGTAGAGCCCCGTCATATCACCTTATCAGTCCTCACAGACTTGTTTCCTATCAGTCCATGCAGCTACTGCACTGTCCATCTGGTGGTGGTTATTTGCACAGACAAGTTATCTTTATGGGGAATTTCCACAGCACTCAGTGTCCAAGATGGAGTTACTCTTGCTCATAGAAAACCAGGCTTTTCAGGGGCACTCCACACAGTCCCAGCCACCCGAATCATCCCGAATCCCTTACTGTGCCCTCCCCATTCATCGCCACGTCCTAACATGACCGCCTCCATGTGCATACCTTCCTCCTAGTGAGCGGCACCACGGCCCTGAATCTAGGCCCCATCGTTGCTCCCTCGGATCGCGTCTAGTCTTGGCTCCTCTCACCCCCCTGAGAGGAACCGTCACGTTGCTTGGGGACCACTCTTTTCCCTGCAACGCCCCCGCCTTGCAACCCACAGAGGCTGCCTCGTTCACGAGGCGAGTGACTGTGGGGAGGTCGCGTCGCCGCGCTGCGCCTCGCTGGCCCTATCTGTGCAGTGGGAGCAGACCTGCCTCGCAGGGCCGCCGAGCGGGCTCAGCTCGGAGAACAGAGCCCAGGGTCCAAGGCTCAGAGCGTCAGCTCGTCCTCATCCTGCCGCCATCGTTTCCCCGCCTGCGCGCTGTGCCTCGGGCCGCGCTGGGACCGGGGCCCCTGGGACCTTCTTGGGGGTCCACCTCCGCGGCGGCGCGTCCCACCGGGCGCAGACACCACCGGCCCCGCGCGGCCCTGGGCCCCCGCCTCCGCCAGGCGCGGCTCCTGCAGGGAAGGGCCCGGTGCGCGCAGCCGACGGGCGGCGGCCGCCGACTCCCGGGACCCGCCCCGCCCCGCCCGTTCCAGGGGGAGGAGTGGGGGCGGGGCGGGACTCCTTTTCCTCGCCGCAGCGGCGGAGGCGCACGGCGTGGCGGCGGCGCAGACGGCGTCGTCGTCGGCGGTGGCGGCGGAGGAGGAGGCGGGGGAGG